GACAAGTGCATCTGTTGTGTTTGCTGTTATGAAAATGGATATTTTTAGCCTGCTACATTTTTGTCTGATAGAAGCAGCCACCCATTGGAGAAAAAAAATCAGGATACTAACTGATTCTAATAGAAGTGAATTCAGCACATGATTTGTATTCTTTATTCAGCCTTGGTTTTCAGCTACACATTTCTGCAACCCCAGCAGAATCTGGGGACACCAATAAAATGTTAAAAGGAATTGATTTGTTTTTCTCCTCCTCCTTACTTTCTCTATCTCTCCTCTGCCTTGTCTGGCTGAAAGAGAGAAAAAAACCCACAGGACTTTGAGGCGCATCCCAAGCCATTTAAATGCTGGGAAGTGCTACAGACATCAAACTTGAAACAGCACTTTGCACTAATAGCAACAAGCAGAAGGCTGCCAAGAGGGTGTCTGTGACCTTTTTTTAAAAAAAAAAACCATCAAACTAGATTTGGACCAATCATCTAATTCCCAGACACAAGCATTAAGAAAGTGAAGGGAGCAGAAGTAGAAAACACGAAACACACCAAGAACAAGTTTGCTAGGGCAACAGCTGGTGTAGTAGGATTAGCAAAGAAAGCATATTTTGTTCCTTCGCTTCCTCTGCCTGAAGGAACATTCTCCCTTTACACATCTTGATTGCCATGTGTCAGAAACAGATGGAGGGAATGTTTTATCCCTGTGGGTTGCCCAACTGCCCCTTCCAGGGGGAGACCTTCACTTTATGAGGAGGAGGAGAAGAGAAAAAGTTCCTGCACTTGGAGGGCAGGTAAAATGAGGTGGGGACTAGTAGGCTGGGTTCCCAAGAAGGAGAGGGTGCATTCCCATGGAATAAGAGGCACTCAGTTGTGTGAGAGAAATAGGGTGAAGACAGCCCCACCCTAATAGTTCACAGAGTATGTGGTAGATACAGAAGGCTAAGCATTGGTGGGATTCAAATAATTTTAACTACCGGTTCTCTGCCCTAATGACCAGCTGGGTAGGCAGGGCTCGGTGGTCATGTGACTGGGTGGGCATGGCCAACACAACATCACTCACGTCAATGGGTGCTTCGCCTTAACTGTTACAATGTAATAATGGTTAACAGAAGAGGCAATTTCTGTAAGCAGGGCAATAAAGATTAGGCTAGAAATAACACCAGCATGTCTCCTTTTTATCTTACAGGATTAGCCCTGTAAAGTGGGAAAAAAAACAAAAGGAGACTTCTTCCAACAACCGGTTCTCCCAGCTGCTTAGAAAGTTGACAACCGGTTCTCCTGAATAGGTTCGAGCTGACTGAATCCCACCACTGGATAGATCTTTGTTATGTAGAATAGACTGGCTCAGGCCTTAATGGTCCATTAACAAAGGTGGGAGGGGGGGGCAGAATTTTTGCCTCCCTTTTAGGGGAAATATTCTGCCCTTTTAATGTTTCCGGCAAGATTCTGTCTAGAGGTGTGGGATAATAAATAAATTCAGCTTGGAAGATTTTTTTTTCCTTGTTTTTGGAGCCTAACAGAAAAGCACTGAATTCCAGAACCCCCAGAAATATGCTTTCCTTTTTATTCCCTTTCTTTTCCGCACCTCTTCCCTTTCTTATGGTTATAGATCATATATTTGTTATTACGAAGCAAGCAAAGCCAGCACTTTCAACCCATTTTTTTTTTGTTGGGGAGAAAGCACGGGGGAGGTAGCAGAGTCTGCTTGTTGTGGCCTGCCATGGAGCTGGCAGCAGAGTCAGGGAATGAGGAGGTCGGGGAAAGGAATGGGCCAGTCCTGGAGGCTGGGGAAGGCTCAGACGAGGACTCTGTGTCGGAGGCAGAGATGGGGCCGAAGCCATCTGGCAGTGATCAGGTGCCTATAGAGCTAAACAGCAGTGAGGCAGCAGAACAGCTAGAGCCTGTTCCCAGTGTGCACATGCGCAGAACTGCCAGAAGAAGAAAAACAACTCAGAAATCAGGGTAGACTTGGGAGTAAAGTCACAGATGGAAGGTGAATGGCCCCTCCATAGGAAATAAAAGAGGAGTGAAAGGGGAGTGGCCTTTTGCAGGAAACAATTCATTCATTCGTTCATTAGATTTTTTTTCAGGAGCATGAAGATCTGCCCATGAATCTCAGAGACTCTGTGCCCAGTCTTTCCTTGCACAGTACCTCATTTGGAAAATATTTACATGGCAGCTTTCCAAGATAGATAAGGTCGGTAGTCATAAATATTCCTTTGAAAGACTGTTTGCTAAGCCTTGCTGAATGTGAATGAAAGGAATTCACATTCATTTAATAAAAGAGGTTTTGTCAGGACTAGGACTCTGCCTCATGCTTTTTGAGGAAGCCTAGGTCAGAACACAACTGAAATTTACCATCCTCTCTTTCACCTGATGATGAAGTTGATGGGGGTGGCGCAATCTCAACCAGAGATGCAACATACATAAAACACAGGCAGAGCTTTGATTACACTATCATGACTACTGTCTTGGCTTTTTTCCCCTTACTCTATGGACACCCCTGGTCTTACTTCAGATTAGTTGTGAAAACCACTACAATTGAGTGTGAAAACCTGAGGATGGAAGGATAAGGCCATGTAGCTGGGCCATTTGATCATGATATGTGGAAATGATCAAATAAGAGCACAGGAGAAAGATACCCAGGCAACCATCCTGCCAAAGAATCTCAGTCTATGGATGAAGAATAGGCATGGGAAGCATTTCAGAAGAGACGTTTGTTAGAATATTCATGACTGGGAGAGACATGGTAACAAGGTCAGCCAATGAATAGGCACAGCAACTAAGTCAGACAATGGGAGCTTAAACAGATCTGAGTCTGTGCTGAGAAATGAAACTAACTGTTCTCTCCTTCTTGTGTTCTGCTTGCAACTTCTACCACATTGAAAAATCTACTATTGGTATTGTACATTTATTCATCTGTTATTATGTATATAAAGAAGTTAATGAATCCAGCTGAGTCAGTTATCTATGTGTGCTTCCTGGATTTGATTTTTCTGCATCAAACTCTGACAACCTTCCCTAGTTTTCTGGAGAGTAAAAAGAAAACAAAGAGGAGTATTTTCAGACTTGCAAGATTAATGTTAGCTCTGCAAAGTAGCCCAGACAAGAAAGGAGTGTAGTAAGGGGAAGGCAACAGTCACACAGGGAGATTTATGCAAGAAGAGGACAAAGAGAGAGAACATAAAAGCTATGGAAGTGGGAAAGTAAAATGCCTTTATCAAGTGATCCTATTTTTATTAAGGATTCTAGGATGCCAAGGAAACCAACCTGACATTAGTTATACCCTTATAACGAACCCCTTTCCAGAAACCTGTTTCTAGTCCAGCCACTCTAAAATGTTATTTTGTTTTGTTTTGTTTTGGGGATAAACAGTTGTGAAGCTGATGCAGCTGCTCCTTTTTAACAGGTTGCCATACTTGGGATAGATGAAGAGGCTCAGTTATGAGCAGGTCTTGTCAGGCACAAGTAGGGAGAACTAGCAGTGTAAGGTTTAAAGATACCAGTTTATTGTATTCTGCTTATTAAATAGGAATCTCCCAAGATTGTCAACTTTAGCCTGGGAGTAGGCTAGATAGAGCATAAGCGGATTCAGTTTTGGATTTCTTGTAGCTGCACAAGGACTCAAGACAAACTGTGCTTGAGGCTTCCCCCCTGTCTGGCTGGGTGATTCCCATCTGGGTATGATTCTGTCCTATACCCTAAATCATGTTCTTCTTCAAATGCTTTGCTTCTGCATATTAACTCCTGGAAAAAAGAGATACATTTATTCTGGAAATAAGGGTGTGTGTTAAGGAGTGAAAAGCAAAAAAGAAAAGGGAAAACAGAGCACATTTTAGACTTTTCTAAAGAAATAATCAGTTGTGATGTTTGCTGTTTGCTGTCTCTCAGATGAAATTATGCTCAGGCCAAATTATATCAGCAACAAAATAAATAAATAAAATGATATAAATCAATGAATGTAAAGATTTTAAAGCATGAACAAGTGTTAAAACCATTTTACTTGTAAATTAATATCCCCGGATACCTGACAGATAATGCAAGGGCATTTCTATTAGAAATAGCAGACTGAATTGAAACAGGAAAAGAAGATGATTAGATTATTGCTGAAACTGCTCATATATTTTTTTTTAAATCTGAGTAAGCAGACTGTTACATATCTGTCCACCAATAAGATGTTGCTTAAATGTTGCTAGACTGAACAGATGGTCAATAATCAAATATAGTTTGATATGCAGTTGCACTTATTTTCTTTGCTACAATTCCCATTCTACCTCTCAAATACCAACTATGGGTTGACTTGTTGGTCTGGATCAGTGTTTCTCAACCTTGGCAACTTTAAGAACTCCCAGAATTCCCCAGGCTTAGCCCAGGAATGATGTAGAGCAATCAAGTCAGAGTTCAGTTCTTTATTTGCTAACACACAATAGACAGAATCTTGCAAGACTAAATCCTTACTACTGACGCCCAACAAATGTAATCTAGGTGATTATAACTATTTTAACTCTCTTCCACTGTGTCCTATCCAGCTCTGAACTGTGTTGTTTCTTGCCTCAACCCCCTCCTTAACATGTGTTCCCTTCTTGCAAAAAAACTGTCCCTTCACAATGCCTCCCCCTCCATAGGCACCATACCTCACGGCAGTGGAGCTATTCAGCCGGTTCGCACTAGTTTGGGCGAACCGGTAACAGTGGTGGGAAGCTCCGTCCACCTGCCTGCACATCATCACATCCCATTTTTGACATTTGCGAACAGGTAGCGAAGGTAAGTGAATACCACGCCTGCCTCACAGGCTTGAAAATTCTGGGAATTGAAGTCCACGGATCTCACATTTTTCAAGCTTAATAAACATTGGTTTACGTTGTCTTGTATAACATTGAAAACCCTTCTTAACAGAATTCCCTGCAAAGACCAATTGTTTTGGAAGGTGATCCTCTGTCCTGAAGACCAATTCCCTTTTCAGACAAGATCCAACATTGAGTTGCCCAATAATACATCCAGAAGACCTACCTTGGCTGGATTGACAGCTGTGATCACCCACACACAGTATGCATTGTTATCATACTGGACAGGATAATTAGGAGATGTGATAACACCACTGGGCCCTCGGAGGTACGTATCACACATTCTAGCTGTGGAGTTGAGAAAAAAAAGAAGAAACAGGAAATCTATTTGTGGATGGAACTTTTGTTTGCAATGTTCCTTCTCTTAAGGGCCTAGAAAATGAAGCAGTGTGGAAGGAGGTACATTTCTTTGTTTTACCATTTCTATCAGTCAAGTTGTAGGATGGTAGAAATAAAAAAAGATTTTGCACAAAATATATGATCATGAACCAAAAGCATCTATTAATCACATCGATGGAGCCCTCAAGGATTCTAATCTCCATGCCCTTCCCAAACCACGTCTCTGTGGTCATGTGGTCAGCATGACTAAATGCTGAAAGCGCATGGAATGCTGTTCCCTTCCCACCAAAGGTGGTTCCTATTTTTCTACTTGCATTTTTACATGCTTTTGAACTGCTATGTTGGCAGAAGCTGGGACAAATAATGGGAGCTCACTCCGTTATGTGATGCTAGGGATTTGAACCACCAATCTGTCAATATTTCTGATTGACAAGCTCAGTGTCTCAGTCACTTAGCCACCACATCTTATAGAGAAATGGATTCCTTTATTTTGCTTCTACATCTATGTTCCTAGGAGTAAGCCTCGCTGGACAATTACCTGAATAATGCATAGAGGATAACATTTTAACAGTTGGCCATGAAAAAGATAAAAAATGGTTGAAGCTCTACAAGTGTTTTACAAATTGAATCCCAAAATTAACAGCATGTCTTGGGTCTGAACTGTGTAAGGCCATTTTCTAACAATTCTCTGTGAAGTCATTGCCAGGATACATCTTAGAAAAAAAGGCAATTCATCAAGTTTTTCTACTTAGGTCAGATATAAGGGTCATTAACAAAATAACTAATAAGCTACTTTGGTGGCATTAGCTGCATTTGTTAGAATTGAGATTTCACTGTTTCTTCAAAGAAACAATGACTCTGAGGAGGCCTGTTTACAACCTGGAACTCCTACATGCTTCCTAAGATTTAGGCAAAAGTCTCTAGGAGAGGGGGACACGGTGGCTCAGTGGTTAAGACACTGAGCTTGTCGATCAGAGAGCTTGGCTGTTCAGTGGTTCGAATCCCTAGCGCCGCGTAACAGAGTGAGCTCCTGTTACTTGACCCAGCTTCTGCCAACCTAGCAGTTCGAAAGCATGTAAAAAATGCAAGTAGAAAAATAAGGACCACTTTGGCGTTCTGTGCATCTTTGCCATTTAGTCATACCAGCCACATGACCATGGAGACATCTTCAGACAGCGCTGGCTCTTTGGCTTTGAAATGGAGATGAGCACCGCCCCCTAGAGTCAGCAATGACTAGCACATATGTGCAAGGGAAACGTTTACCTTTTACCTCTAGGAGAGGACTATACTTCTGAAGCCATTAGAGGTAAGCACCTTGCCCTAAGTGTCCTATCTTGCTATATCTGCACACAGATCTTCCAACCTAATCAAAATTGTGTGAATTTAAGAATTTATGTGCAGGTACATGCACATGCACACTCTCCCCTCCCCCAAGGCACACAAAAAAGAGGCACATGCAGAAATCTAATAATTTCTTCTCCTAAAATTCCATGGCTGTCCTCATCCAGGTAAGACTTAGATTAGACTTTAAAGATTTAGGATAGTATGCAATATTAAAGATTTCTTATGGAATATGTTGTAGCAATATTTTACTTTTGGGAGATTATTTTTCATCTTTTTTTTTTGTTAAATCATTTCCCAAAAAGAAAAGTTCTACTTTTCTTTTAAAGGGGCTCTTTTTTCCTGAACATTTTTCTTAGCGATGCTGAATATTCTCCATACTCAAACCAGTAGTGATTCAGCTCACAAGACCTCAGAATAAGCTTTTGACATGAAGTCAGTTGTCTTGCTGTGAGACTAACCTGAAGAATGCCCTGAGTCTTAAGAAGATCCTATCAAGCGGCTGTTTTGGGTTGATCTTTTACCTTTATACCATGGGGTAGAAATTTTACACTCTTTCTTCTTCTTGCAAAATAAAGTGAAATCTGTTTAACTAGCAGCCGTGAATGCAGAGATTTAGGTTTGGTTACAAAACAAGTTTAAGTGTTCAACTGTTTTAGAGCACTCCTACATTGTACAAAATGGCTGCAACTTTTTTTTTTGGAAGACTTAATCAAATCTTAATGTAATAAATATTTCATGAGAGGCAGATAAATTAAGCCTAGACTGCAGAGATGGCAGCCTTTATCTAAGACATTTTGACTAAAACAAAGAAAATGAGATTTTAGAAGAAAACAAGCTGAATAGGAACAGAAAACTGCTTTGTATTCTGTCAGATCAAAAGATTAACTAGCCAGAACTGTATGGAATATTTTTCCCTATTAATTGTGATGAGCCGTGAGAACAACCTTCTCACAGGAGGAAGAGTCCCAGACCAGGCAATGGTCAGACAGGAGAACAAATCCCAGTTCATAGAACAAATGGGAAGAGAAAGTACTTCAGAAGATACTCCCCTCCCCAGTTTTCTGAAAAGTATAAATAAACAAGTAAAGTCTTGTTTCTGCAGCCTTACAATAAAAGTGATCTTAGTACTCATGGTTTTGGTTTTTTTTTTCTTCTGTCTGGATTATCTCAAAAGGTGACAACAATCTTTCAAGTCTGAAAACCTCTTTCCTCTCCCCTGTCCTTACTTCCTAGAGGATATGGGAAGGTCCCTTCTGATGGAATGAAGCAAGGCGTCACGCCTGCCACATACTGAAAAATATTGTACTGTGGGAAACTGGAAGGGGGGATTGTATGAAGCATGGGAGCCAAAATAACATTTCATCTCAGAAAGTCATGGTCACTTCATCCCTGCACCTGGACCGATGTGGATGGGAGGAATTTTCCTTCATGGCAATGACTGATTGGACCATGTGATAGACATGGTCCCAGCTTCTTCCAACCTAGCAGTTGGAAAGGGGGGCATTTGCCCAGGTTCGCCTGGTGCGCCAGTTGCGGCCCTACCTGAACCGGGAGGCTCTCACAACAGTCACTCGAGCCCTTGTGATCTCTAGGCTGGAATACTGCAATGTGCTCTACATGGGGCTGCCCTTGAAGAGCATCCGGCGACTTCAGCTAGTTCAGAACGCGGCCGCGCGAGTGATCATGGGCGCACCACGGTTCGCCCATATAACACCGATCCTCCGTGAGCTGCGCTGGCTACCTGTTGATCGTCGGGTGCACTTCAAGGTCTTACTTACCACCTATAAAGCGCTCCATGGTAGTGAATCTGGCTATTTGAGAGACCGCCTCCTGCCAATTACCTCCCTGCGTCCCATCAGATCGCACAGAGTAGGCCTCCTCCGAATTCCATCCGCCAGTCAGTGTCGACTGGCGACTACGCGGAGGAGAGCCTTCTCAGTTGCAGCTCCGACATTATGGAACAACCTCCCCGTGGAGATCCGTACCCTCACCACAGTCCAGGCCTTCCGCACAGCCCTCAAGATCTGGCTATCCCGTCAGGCCTGGGGATAGGATTACTCTCACCCCGCCCGAATGTTGAGTGAATGTTGTGTTTTTATGGATAATTTCTTTTATTCACGTTTCTTTTTCTTTTTAAGTCTTGTCTTGCACTCCCTTCCCCCCATTGTTGTAAGCCGCCCTGAGTCCCCTCAGGGAAAAGGGCGGCATATAAATGCTCAATAAAATCCTAAATCCTAAATGTGGGTGCTGGAAAAGGTCTTGAACTTTCAACTGTGTGGAGAAAACCTGGAAGCTTTCAGATTCAGGTTTTTCCAGATGTGCCAATATGACATCTCTAATAAAATGGAACTTTGAGGAATTTCAAACCTTGGAGTTTTACTCATTGGGGGTGTTACTTGGAACCCTGACCTTAACCCAAATCTGCTCTAAAGTAACTACCAGCTCCCCCAAAATCTGGGGTGCTATCTGGGGTCCTGAACCACAAGTGTCCACCCAAAACTGGGGGGGGGGAATGAAGACTCAGGACAGACAGAGCACAGAGAGAAGACTGACAGAAGGAGTGGATAGCTAGGAGAGACCTGATGCATTCCAGAGGAGTAAGATATAACATAGCCTAGATATCATTTGTGAGAGAAAGAGAGCGAAGACAGACACTTCTTAATAGTTCACAGAGTATATAGTGGATGAGCAGAGTGGAATCCTCAGTCTGGCATGATTTTGCCTTTACATGGTAAAGAACAAGGAACTTAGCTTGGAAGATTCACCACATGTTTTTCTTGGTTTTGGGCTGGACAGAAGATACAACACACTACAAATCCCATCATCTTCCAAATGACTATGGTTGTACTTCTTGAGGAATGATGAGTATATGGGCTACCAATTCTCATAGTTCCTTAATTTGGTTTTCTGGCCTGAACAGAGAGCTGCATTCAACAGCCTAACTGTCCCTTCCAACTATATGATTCACTCTGTGGAGAACTTTCAATTGGAGAAGACTGACAAAAGGCAAAGACTGAATATGTGGAAATAAAATCCAGGAAATATTTTACATAATAAAAGATCAAAGATCAAAACCATGTTGGACAACTGATGGGAGACCACCTGTCCCCATGTTTACTGTCATTCTAAGACAATAGCTGTGAAGGTTAAGAGTTGCCAGATTCATCTTCTGCCAGCAAAAAGATTGCATAATATTTTCTGAAAAACTTAAACGTGGGTTTATGGACTGTATAAGAGAGAATCAAGAGCATACTTATGGGGCACTCCCTAAATAACAGTGCATTTACTTCCAATGACCCACGGTTACTGGGTCTGACTTTCTTATATATAAATGTCCACGTGAGGTCCTTATAAATTTGGCCTGGCATGCAGAGGCATCATAGGCATCATAGATCACATCAAACAAACTCTCTCCAATGTTTAATTAGTCGCATAAAAATTCATTTCTGCATAGCGGGCAGGCCCAGAAGGTAAATTCTATTATTTTCATGAAAGTGCATATGAATGCATTAGAGTGTATGGACTGAAGTCTATTTGTACTATGCATTCCCAGTGGACAGCTCCCTGACATGTTTAGTTGCTACTATTGAAAAAGTTTTCATCTATTATTTAAACACACTATAGAAATAGAAGACATGCAAACAAAGAACAAGGATTCTTTCATTACAGGACACACTCTTCTGTCGAGAGGGGTAACCTCTCAGGCTTGGAAGCCATCGGGAGATAGGGCCTCAAGCCTGCCACATATTCAAACATAATTACCTTGGGAAACTGGGAGGGGGGACGGTATGGAGCTTGGGAGATGTGTAGTCAAAATAAGATTCCTTCTCAGAAAGTCAAGGTCATTTTGTCCCTGCACCTGGACAGATGTGGATAGGAGGAATCTTCACCCATGGCAGTGACTGATTGGACCATTTGATGGACTTGTGTATGTTGGGGCAGGGTCTTTAACTTTCAGCTGCATGGGGAAGACCTGGAAGTTTTCAGATTTGGGGTTTCCCAGATATGTCAACGGCTCGTCCAATAAATTGGTATTTTGAGGAACTTCTTGACTCGAGCTATTATTTCATAGAGGATGCTATTTGGAACCCTGACAGAACTATTTCATCCTAAACTCTTAAAACTCATATTCCCATATGCTACAGAAGGGACCATTCTAACCCAACAACCAACTTCTCAATCCTTTCCAACTGTTTGGCTCATTGAGCAACATTTGTGCCAGATGCCTTTCACCGGTTATTTGTAATACAAATTATGGTCTAATCTTTCAAAGAAATCTTCCCTGAGCAAGCTGCAAATGCTTGATCTCTCAATGGTCTTCCTCAAGGTAAGAAAAAAAATGACCTCCTGCATGATCAAGAACCTTCAGGCGAATAGCATTGCAAAGATAGCCATTCCTACATATACAATGCCCATATTTGTGAGATCATAAACTTTCCTCTTAAACTTGCTGCTTTTTTTAAAAAAAAAACTAGAGGTCCTTCTTTTGTATAAAAGAAAATTCTGCCATTAGAACCCTTTCCTAGCCACAATTTGTTTAAGTCCAATGTTGCTGATCATAGACTTATAAGAATGGAATAAAATCTCATTGAAATTTCCTGATCATCTACTTGATACTGGATCTTAGAAAAAGAGGTTGAGGATTACATATATATTTATATATGCAGACCATGCAATAATTTGGAGAAAGTTTTGGAGATCTGGGGCATGTTGGTTTGCTTCCTGCTCTGCTTCCACGACAGCTACACAACAAGGGCTCAGAGTCGCATGGAGACCACATACATTTTAGAGGAGAAATTTAGATATACATTCAATTTTGCATGTCTTTAGAAGAATAAATAGGGATAAATTATTAGAACCAACTTATAACAAACCTGTTGTAAGTATCACCGTTCACGATTCACCAAGCCACGAAATAGTGGATGATCTCCAGATAAAAGAATTACTATTAGATGAGTTTGATTTCTTATAATGATCCTCTTCTACTAAAGGTGATAATTCAACTCAATTTCCTGCCTCATTTGTAATCTTTGGTGTCATTTATCTTACCTCGACACACAGGTCTCTGGTCACTCCAGGCAGCTATCATACCACTCAGCTTCTTACAGGTGATGCTTTTGGAGCCTTGTAAGTCATAGCCTTCACTGCAGGTGAACTGGACACTGGATCCTAACCTGGAACACAGGAAGCCAATTACTGACCTGTACTGTAGCTTCAGGCAAAGATTTTGGATGCTCTGTTTTGTTTCTTATTTGTTTTGTTCCATAGGGAACTTCTGGGTTATATAATTCCAGATATGATATAACAATGAAAATAAATGTTGGATTTCCAAATGCAAATTGATAAAGTCTTGGCCCATAACACACTAAGATTTAACTAGGGTTGAAAAAAGGAAGTGTGGGTAACTGATCAGGGGAGAATAGAAGAACAGGAGAAAATCGTAAAGTATCGAAGATTTGAAAACCAAAGTTGAAAGACTGTGGCATAAACCAGGCACGATGGTGGCAGCAGTTATCAACACATCAGATACCATACTGAAAAAAAATATATTGGATGGCCCTTAATAAATCCTGTGCATTGACAAAATTTCCATCTGTCAATTACAAAAGGCCACATTGCTTGTATCTGCACATACACTATGCTGATATAGTGTGACAAACTAAATACTTGGGAAGAACTCAATGCAACTAAAGGTCAACACCAAATGAAGAACTGGCAGATAATAATAATTTATTAAGGTTGTATACTATCTGAATGCCAAAGACTTTGGGTGGAGTTTATATTGATTCCCTTCTGCTGGTGGGTAAAATAATTTTATTAGCAATGAGAAAATTGGTTGCTAGATCAGGTTTTAGGTAGTTCAATGTTAATTATTGTACTGATAGTAGTTTTAATTGTGTTTTTAAAATACATTACTTTTTAAAAATCTATCTCAAGTACCATTGACAACTGGAACAAAAATGCAATACATAAATGTGGGCATGCATATATATTGTACATACATTCAATTACTCCAGTAGGTAGCTAGACGTTTTTTAGCATGTTACATCTCCATGGCATTACTGTGTTCAAAATGTGTAACAACAGATATTTGATCAACAGATCCACTGCATTTTTCCCCACCTGTCCTAACTAAATCCTGCATTTCAAAATGTACCAAGTGAGTAGATCTCATAAGACTTCTAGAATATGTGGAAGATGGAAGAGACTTGGAAACATTGCTATTTTAAACTAATAAAACAGTTCTGATTTAAGTAATCTACATGGAGTTTACATACCATTACTGGACAAAGTCTTTTAGTCTTTTAACAGATCTGAAAATGAATAGGGTATCACTGCAGATGTCAAAGTGATGCTATTGGAGCTGTGTATTTCAAACTTGGCAACTTAAAGATGTTGTAGACTTTAGCTCCTAGAATTCCTCCGTCAGCATGTTCATGCATCTTAAAGTTGCCAAGTTTGAAAAATACTGCTCTAGACAATGCATACACTGAGATCAATTTACAAAACATGCAATTTAGATTCCAATTGAAAAAATTAGAATGCGGGGACTATGAAGAAATAAGTTACTTATCCTATATGAAAATTGCATTTTTCTGGATATTCAGACTTCATCCAATTATGTGAATAATGATCCACTTAAGCATCTTCTATGATTAATCATATTTACAGATACATTCACTGTTGTCCTATAATGTTTTAGAGTATACTGGAAATGTCAATGCAATATTTATCAGGTTCATAAAGATAAATTTTTGAGGTTTCAAAGTCTCATTTTTATATTGATCTCACATATTGGCATTACTAAATCTGCAGGAAACATTTAATAGTTTAATATCTGTAGGTATGATGGTTCAGCTCAATAAATCATTTTTTTCTAGTTTGTTGGAGATTTTACAGGAGGATGGAAATGGGGGAGACTCCTGACATGTTTTGGAAGCTGCCATTAGGTGAAATCAAATTATTCTAGGAACTGTTTTCTCTTTCTTATCCCATTCCATCTCACACTGGGCAAGATTATTCTTTTAGTTCCAGACCTTATTTCATGGGGAGTGGGAAAGACGTGACTATATGCTTCTGGCAAAAAAAAAAAAAAAAAAAAAAAAAGTTATCTACAGAGACATAAAATTAAATATTGATCTGCACTCTGACTCACCCACCCCCATCCCTGCTTGCTGACATGCATAACATGAAGAGACTGATCTACTGCTTACGCACAAAAGCAAGAGGTGACAAAGTGATGGTGAAGGCAGCTGGCATGGCTGGACGGAAACACATCCAGCACTGATTCACACATGCACGATGGTTTCTCAGCAGTAATGTGTGACCCTATTCCACCAAAGGCACTACATTAGAAGTGATACATATGCTCCGAGTGGATCTGCAGTTGTTCAGTTCCCAGGAGCAAACTAGGCATGTTATAAGGCCATCATCAACTGATCAACATAAATATGTCAACCATCCATATGGTTGGATATGGATATGAAAGCATCATAAAATGATTTCCCTATAAGAGTGGTAAATAAATCTTTAACCACAAAAGCTTGTGACACCCTAAAGATTAACAGATTTATCAACACATAAACATTTGGGGACCTTGGTTCACTTCATCAGATCCAAAACATGGGTTTTGTGTAATGTGTGTAGTAATAAATCTGCTAATGTTCACTGGCTGTATATATAAATATGCATGTATGCATGTATCAGAGGTGGTATCCAGCCAGTTCTTTCCAGTTC